TGTGATGTTTGGAAATGCTTTCTTGATACCATATTGAGAGTTTTTAATGATAATTTGTGTATTTTTTCCTTTGGAAATTAGTAATTTAACCCCTTATTTACTCACGAGAAACCAATATCTAGACAGTGGAACATTTTGACCTCTTGTTGGGATTCAAACTCGCACGAATACAGAATAAACAACCAAATTCAAATTTAAAAAATGTGATTGGAGGTTTCGTTTTGATTCCGAACTCACATCTTTTAGTAATATGCATTCGCTATGTTAAAAAGTCGTAGGTTCGCACCTAGTTCGAATCGAAACACGTGTTAAATCTGGATTTTAATTTTCCCTTTGGGTACGGGTCCAATTAAAACTGGATGGTTATATATTGTTTATTACACTGTGATTATTTTTGAGGTTGTTTGTTTCTTTTGTGACATTCATAAACGGGTCTTTATATCCTACACAAAAATTAAATGAAGCCATTTAACCGAGTCAATTCATTAAAAACCATAAAGATGCAAGGTTTATGCTAAGAAAAATCCAACATAAGCGCAATTAATAGCATACAAACTTTTGATTCTTTTACTTCACTTTGCTCAAATGGTTTGCTTTTATTCCCTGAATTGGTTCGAATTCAATAGCTCACTTCTTGTACATCTTTCCACGACAGAATCGACAATGGCGACGTGTTTTGGGGGGATAGAAAAAAAAGGCAGAAAAGAAAAGAAAATCGAGGGGCGTACCAAATATTGGCTTCTTCATCCAGCGGGAGACGACTTCTTTTTTTTTTTTTATTATTATTATTTTCTTTTTTGATCTTTCTCTTTGAAGACAGTTAACGTTGGTTGGACAAAAGATGGGCAATAAAAAACGTTTTGTCAACCACTCGAACGTTCAAAGCTACGCTATAGAAAAGAGAAAGGCTACATAAATGATGTCTACTTTAGAATCCTTACTGTTGAAAGAATGTGACAAGAGTAGATGAGAGAAAAAGATTATTGACAGCTGCTCACACAGACCACACAATAGAACTGGCTAATCCCATTACAAGCATTGACAGATGGCAAGACTGTTGTCAAATTGTAACATCAGAGTAGTTAAAAGGGGAAGAGAGAGAGAGAGAAAGAGAGAAAGAATATAAAATTAAAAAAAAAACAACGTTGGTCACAATTGTGTAATCTGCATTTTTCCAAACGTTACTTTTCACTTTTTTTTTTTTTTTAAATTCACTTGAATTTCATTCGCATTATTATGGTTCTTATCTAGAGAAGCGCTACATCTTCCCCCCTTCCGATGCCGATTTTCTTTTCTCTGCAAGGTCTGATGTCTCATTGCTACAAGTGTTTGCTTGTAAATAGCACTCGAGGCGAGCAAATTCCCTCAGATGTAATTGGAAAGATTTTTACAGCGGTTGTCATTCCTTCTTACATTTTATATCAAACGGGATGTTACGTTAATCAAAGAAGACTTTAATATGTATGATAAAGGTTGGCAATCAAATTTATAAATGATTAACTTTAAACGCCGAGCCTACCGTTGACGAAAGTCTCGATTCTTGATAAAAGAAGAAAAAAAAAACAAAACTTAACAATTTTTCTAATGTTTTCGATCGAAAATTGAAGTTCGATTCCTTAAAAATTGTCTGTTTTAAAGAGTTTTTATATACGAAAACTTATAAAAATTAAAAGAAAAGAATTTTAATTGTTGAAAAATTCAATTTCCTAAAATTTAGTTTTATTCTATGGATCAAAATTCTCACATTTTCAGCGAAATTTCTTAACTTTTAATTCGAAATATTAATAACAAATTTTTTTTCAATTCATAAAAAGAACTTGATACATTAAAATCGTTAATTTTCAACAACTAAAATTTAAAAAAATTCACAGGAAATTTTTAAGGAATAAAATCATTAAAAAAAAACGAAATTTTAATCCTTAAAAATAATTGATTTTATCAAAAGAAAAAGACTGAATTTTTCTATCGACTTTTCGTGTCGAAAAGTGGAGAAATTTCGTGAAATTTCCTAAGAAATTAATTAAATTTGAAGACATTAATTCGACCATTTTATTCGGAACAGTTTTAATGATTTAATAGTACAGTTTAATGAGTTAAAAAGATCAGAATTATTAATTAGAAAGGGGACAAATGAATTCAGTTAGGGACAATAGGAAGGAGACAAAACGGTACCCATTTGTGAAAAGTGATCACCTCGAGAGCTCTCTCTCTGTCAAAAAAGCAAAACGGGGTTATTATGACTAACAAAGCTGAACCAATTAAATCATCTCACGAGAATTTAAGCGAATTGACTCTCTTCAACTAAATCAAATGAACATTTTTATGAACAAAACCTATTTATTAACGTATTAATAATCGCTCTGACCCGTTATTCCATCGAATATTTTGAGAAATTATTTCATTTTATCCTATTAAAACGTCCTAAAAATGAATTGCAATTTAATACTATTTCTTAATAATTTCCAAAATATTTGAATTAATACAAAGAATCTAATTAAAATTATGAAAAAGTGATGATTGTTTCTAGGTTTTTCAGATAAATTTCGTGAATATTTCGAATAATTTCATCGTTTGGCACCACCAAACGATGAAATTATTCGCATAAACGAGTCTAAAAATAATGCATTGAGATCCTCTGCATCTTCACAAGGATGAGGATGATCTAGTGTATCTTTATGCAATGATGATGCGGAGGATCTGATAGATCTTACTGTATTTATATTATTTTTGTACCGAATTATTATGTTAATCCAAAATTAAATTGTAAAAAATAATAATAAGTGTGTCTACTCTATCAAAAATATAATTTTCTCTCTACTTGAACTCAAAAAATCAGTTTGTCTGTCAGTAATCAGACTACATAAATTAACTGAAACTGATGAAAAAAGGCAGAGATTAATGTGTAAAAAAATATATTTAAAATAATATAAATGAAATATTTGTATAGAAAAACCAGTGTCAGAGGTAAAATTTACTACAGATAAATTCAGCAGTTAATTAGCATTATAAGGATCGTAAAAATCAACCGTAATGGTAGTATTTTTTAAAAGATTTTATTTAAAAAATACTATCGTTACCATCGATATTTTGATTTGCAATTTCTATGTTTCTAGATTGTTACACTTCTCAATAATTTCTATAATTTTCGTCATAAAATTTAAATAAATTCTGGATTAATTCAATTGTAATTTTGTAGAATAAGTTGGAATTTCGAACTTTAATAACAGAAATTGAATTCAATATTTAAATATTTAGCGGTTTTATTACGTTTCGAATCATTTTAATCACCGTTTCCTGTATTTTTAATCTCTTCCATATTTACTTTTCTATAAATTTTTAATGTTTATTTTTCTCTGCTGTGTACATATTTGATTATATAGAAATGAGAAATGTAAAGAAAATTAAATTTAAATTAATAATAATTTAAAAATTCCAAAAGTATTTATTAAAATACTCGTAGGAGTTTGTATAAATCGCAATTTTTTGTGGATAAATTTTACTAGACGAACTAAATAATACTCTAAAGTACAGATTTAAAATGGATGCAGGATTTTAGATCTGGTACTGTACAGTATATATATATGACCTGTATAAATGTATATAAATATTATGTACAGTATATATGCCTATATACCATATATAGGCTATATAGACGTACTGTACACACATATATATAGGCTATATATTCTTCAAAAATGGCTGTTTATACATGCATACAATATTCATAAACATAATTTATGTACAGTACATAAGCTTACGTGTATATTGTGTGTAATTTATATACATATATTGTCACGAAACCGCTTTAAATATTCACCTGACACTATATATTCACATTTTACGTGAATAATATATCGTTTATACAATTTATCATTGTATATTTTATACATTTTACTGCATTATTAACTGTGTTACCGTATATTATTTTACTGTATTAAATGAAACTCTGGAAAATTATATAACTATATACGTATATACGGTATTTTAATGTATTTTAGTGTTTCTAAACTATGAATAAAGGCACCAGATGGGAAACGATTCCGGCTCTTTCGGAATGTCAAGCGAATTAACCAATTTACATTAACAGGAGCACTTCTCCCACCCTTATATAAACCTATTTAACTTGGAAATAGTATTAACCACGCTATCTCGATGTCTACGTGGGGTTTATTTTGAATCTCTCTCCCAATAAAAAAAATAATAGTTTAAAATATTAATAATATAATTAACTTAAAAATAATTATAATAATGTGGTTTTTAGGTTATTAATTATATATATATTTTTTAATAAATGACGTATGTTTATATGTATAACAACTGACAAAAATTGTTTATTGTTGTTCTAACCTGAAGTAAATTGATTGTTCGGAGCGGTCCACAATGTTTTTAATTCACAGTAAAGGGGTCAATATCGGTTACGTCAGCGTTTAAACCGGTTCTTCGCTCGACAGACACTTCTATATCGTCACCTGTTTCTCCAATTCCTCTCCTAGTATATGCACAAAAAGTAGATTTAAATTAAAAATATATGTAAAAATTAATTATTTATTCTTAATATATGAAATATAACTATGTATAATATAGAATAAGCCAGTATTTAGTGAGTTTTAGGCGCGTGTCAGTTATTAACATTCGAAATATTTAAAATTACTATTGTTTATATTAACGTTATTTATCCTTACCTGGATTTATGAATGTCGATATAACAAAATTGTACATTGATACTTTAGTTGAGGATGCTTCAAGTATAAATATCGCCACTTCATCATGTTGAGTGAGGACACACGGAAATCACAACCATCGAGCAATCAAGAGTAAAACCTATCAGAATATAGGACGAACAAAGAGCAACCAATGAGAGGCGTTGGATTTAACAGTGGGTCGAGCCTCCTTTGAAACGTTGCGGTGATGGACGTGAAAACGTTCAATCACTGCACACTACACGTGACGGTCGACTATAAAGTTAAGGTTTACAAAAGTTTGAAGTGGTTGAACGGCATGTGAAGGATAGTGAAGGGTAGGCATGTCGAAAACCAGCGGAGATCACGTCAAACGTCCCATGAACGCGTTCATGGTGTGGTCTAGAGGTCAGAGGAGGAAATTGGCTCAAGAAAATCCAAAAATGCATAACTCGGAAATTAGCAAGAGACTAGGAGCAGAATGGAAACAACTAACAGAATCCGATAAGAGACCTTTTATAGACGAGGCCAAACGTCTGAGAGCTCTACACATGAAGGAACACCCCGACTATAAATACAGACCTAGAAGGAAACCTAAACCTTTGTTAAAGAAGGATCATAATTACTTAACAGTACCACCCTGCTTTCCATCTCCGTTAGAACCTCTGACAAGGTTTCCATCGTTGGATAGTGAGAAAGCTGTAACTGCACGTACTTTTCCACTTCCTCTAGCACCCCCGACCATAGGTCCGTATTTTGGGAATATGTACAAGAGCCGAGAATTGACTGAACCCTACTACAACACGGCAGCTAGCAGTTTATTGTCTTCGTTGTCACATTCACACAATACTTCTTACGGTATGGTGTCGTGTGGATGCTCACCTTACTTTTCCAACATTCCTAACACGGTGACGGATCTGCAACCTACTTACTTATTCGTCAAACCGGACATCTAGTCTTCATAATGTTCCTGTGGAAAGTGGTGACTAATGTACAGTACAGTGGTGGATATTTAGTTGCAATTTAGACTTGAGACAAACTTTCTAGTCTTCGGGATCATGCTACTATATTTTGTTGTGTCTAAGTAAGTACTGTGTTGAATTTCTTTTGTTGAAAACAAAATATTTATAGAGATAATCAAACTGTTGACATTTATTTACTATTTTTTTTAAATAGGCTAACGTATATATACATATACATATATATATATACACACATATATAAATACAATTATTCTTTCAAAATACAGATCAAATCTGTAAATTACCCATTTTTTTCGTCCCTTTTTTTTTTAAAGTTTTACGAATGTAAAGAAGGCAGAGTCCTTGACTAACGTCAAGTTTTTGCTGTTCCTTGGGGGGATGAATATAAAACCATGTATTTTGATGTAACATATATTGAATAGATGCAGTTGTACTAAGTGATGTATATAAATTAATAAGCTATCAATCGATAGCCATTGTTATTAATTTTAATTTTTGAGTGGTGTATTAGTTCTGTTAATAAAAATTGATTGTGTCGAAATTACTTGTAATCTTTATTTAAAATAATATTCCAGAATTTGGAAAATAAATCAGTGAACTGATATCAACCACTTACAGTTAATTATTGTTACGCTTTTTTTTTGTTTTTATTAGAATTTAAAAAGAAAAGAAGAAAATTAAAATTGTCTTTTAAGTGTAATAAATTATTTTATAGAATTTATAATTATATATAAGTATTAGAAACTGTTTTCTAAATCATAAAATACAGAAGAAAAGCCGCAAAAATTGATTTAAATACTCCTTCTTTATGCAACTATATCGAATATTTTAATATAATTACGGCGAATTTTAAATAAAATCATGAATTTTAATAACAGAATCGCTCATCATTGATAGCTTCCTGTTTCAATATTGACAATTGGAGGATAACGATTCTATTTTTCCTTCCATTTTATTTGACGAAATCTATCAACCGAATTGCTATAAATGCATACAAATATTGTTAAGTAAGCGCTCGTAAAACTAATTCTCCCCCAATTAAACAGCAAAGGAAAGCAGAATTGTCCAGCATCTATCGTTTATTCATTGCCAAAGGCGCTTCGTCTGGTCAATCGAGAGTCGTTTGTCCTCCTATCTATGCCTTCTAACGTCGTTTGACGACACCTAACTTCTTGATTAAAGAACATCAAAAGTACCGCGCCATCCCACCCCCCGATTGTCTGACTAACTTTTTATTACGTTATCTACCACCCAAACGACTCTTTATTAATAAAATGATATTTATTTACCAATTTAAGATACAAATTTTGGGTTTTTATTTACAAAATTTCTTCGTATTTAGTATTAAAATAAAGTAGTTGTGGGCGATTTCGGACGGTGTGGTGGGTCCCCGTACACACTGTAAAAGAAAAGAATTAAAACATTTTTTACCAATGTCCGAAACTGTTGTTTATGTTCGAAATTAAGTACGAGGCGCGGGACAACTCTATTTGGTGCTACCACCTGTCAGGAGGGGACGTCAATCAAGCAGACACCAAACGGAGCACAACAATAGCCCCCTTCTATAGGGCTCAGTGGGCGGAAAGAGAACTACTTCAGAGCTAATCGGATGGGAGGATAGGAAGTCTAAAACGCTCTCGCCGCTAGTTACAACAGCGAAAACTTCTACTACGCGCCGTACGCGTAGCTAGCTTTACGAGTTAGGAGCTCGGAAAGACCGAATTAAAACGGAATTCGAACGATAAAAGTGGTTTAATAGTCTCGAGACTTTACTAATGACACGTTCTTAAGCTATGCAAAAAAAGGAGCGAGAGTGCGCGCATCGGAGCCCACGTATACGAGAGGACTAAAGCTTTAGTTTAGTGGAGCGGCGTGCAGCAGGGAAGGACGGAGGAGGAGGAGGAGGAAAGGGGGATTGTGCCACGGTGCAATGCTTATTTACCTTCTATTCACCACTGAATAGGGAGATTCAATAGACGTCTGTAGTGCTTTTCAACAGCGTTCGCTTCTAGGCGGGATCCAGTGAATGGTTTTCAATTTTACCTCAGACAATAGCCAAATCAGAGTGAATGGGGTGCGCGTTGATCTCGTTACACCCGGTAATAATAAACGTCGATTCCCTGTGAATAGATGGTATTTGTCCCGTGTCTTTCATTATGTCACGGACAAAAGCCTCCCTTTCAGCCGCCAGTCTTCCCTATTCATGGATCCTTCTTTCCACCACTTTTGTTGCCAGCCGCGACCAGGCACGGTTTCCATATGTGTTCAAACTACATGTATTACGCCTCACCTCAGCTTTTCAAACCATCCAGTGCTCCACAATGCTCCCACTGAGAACGGTCGGTGTGAGGTCCTATTCACCCTTCTTTTCTCACTCGGGAGAGGGGAGAAAGGGGGCTTTAAGAAGAAGGAAAGAAGGGAGAAAACCTCCACCCGAGTTGAATTATAAATGGAAAATGCTGGAGCTGTATTAGTTTCCGACTCTATATGTTTTTATGCTATCCTATCCTTTATTATATATATATATAAACGGTGTATATGCGGGAAACATGTAATTGACCGCTACCAGAATAAAAATGAACTTTTTAGTCTCGCACAACTATCAAATTCTCTACCGACTACTAGCGAACTAGTGTGTAGCAATTAAAACACCGGTCAACAAAACAGAGTAAAAAAAGTATATAAATATATAAATAAAAAAAAAATAGTCGAGGTTCTACGAAGCGTGACAAAGCGTCTGTGCCGCAGTTTAGAAATCCATTTGCTTACAGGCCATTACATGATGCCGATATGGTTTGCTATTGTGAAGCAGAGACAATGATTTGAATGACGTCTATTGTAGGCGGACCAGGTAACAAAGAGCCTGTCACATAATACCGACGTTTGTTGCAAGAGGACATAAATTGCAGTCCTATGCCTCAGTCACTTACTCTATACAACGTTTTGGTCTATTGTACCGTTGGCCATCTATTGATTATGAATATCGCATAAAAGGGGAGACACTCTGACTTGGCCTTCGGAGATTAAACATAGTAGATGGAACAATGGACGTCGCCACCTATTTGCTAGATAGAAATGAATGCTTCACAATGTTTCATTTCTCTATATACCTAATAATCGCCAGGATACTTGGCCTTATCCAATGAAATTTTATACTATTAAACCGTATCGTCGCTCTCTTTAAACTATTCTTGTAATTTGTTTCATTAAGAATAATTATTTTTAAATAAGTTTGACTTGTGACCTCCATAATTAACCTTCCGTTACAATCAATTTTACTATATTTTTCTATTATGTATGCCTTTTGTAACGAGACGAGCGCTTCGGATTCGTAGTAATCAGACTGTTACCAGACCGATACGCACTTAAAATTCGAAAGTGCAGAGACTTATTTAAAAACTGTTTCTAAATCAGCGTTTTAGACAGAAAAAACGGTATCCAAAACTTGAATTATCCAATTTAATGAGCTAAATTGGATAATTCTAATCGCGTGTTAACGCCAATTTTAGAAATACTTCCGGCCAAATTACGCCCTAATACGATACAAAAAATAGGAATCTACACGTCTGTACTCAAATAGAACTAAGATTTAAGCGCAAATTAAATAAAAATAGTTTAGTAAAACTGCTTTTTATAGGAGCTAACAGTTCGAAATATGAATTCCTCAAACACCGCATCGAAGGAACAGGAAAATTTGGGGACCAGAAAGTTGAACGTTATGAACTTACGTGCCCGTAACTAAATTACAATTAAGGTAACGATTAATGGAATGAATAACGGACAAGGTCAACGATACTCACCGTCACGCTAAAGTTACTCTCTTCTTCTCCGCTCTAGGTAACAAGTCGGATCCCCCACGGAAAGAATCGTAACTGAAATTAAAAAAAGATATATATATAATATATATATTAAAAATTATAAACCGATATGTAAAGGTAGCCAATAGACTCAGCTGTTCAAAGTGATTTTTGGTACTCTAGAAAAAAAATTTAGTTACGACCGTCAGGTGTTCAAACATCGGGTGGCAACTGTAGTTGTGTGTCAACATGGCGGGACTTAGAAAATTCACTTACTGAGCATCTGGTTATGTAGATAAACTATTTGGCTTAGTAGACGAGAGTGAATCGTCTGATTGTCGAAAATCCGAGCTTCGAGTTCTCGGTAAATATTCGTATTCTAATAATATTCGATAGCGTATCTCTTAGGGGATGCGATCCTCTCTGATTAGTATTCAAATATAGTTTCTTCTATTCAGATTTTTTTCTATTTCTTACACCCTATTTAAATCCACTTTTTAACGTTTAATGTCTTTTAATAACCTTTCGCCTTTCTTATTAAAGTTATAAACAATATTAAATCATTTCTCAAAACCGAATTAGTTTAAAGGGAAAGGCTTCCTTCTTTCATTTTAATAAATTAACTATAAATTAATTTCCTTACGGAAAAATTTGATTTAAAAATCGAAATTTCGTATGGTATAATAAAAGAATTTTTGTATTATTTCCCGAAAAGATAGCTTTAATTTCCTTAACTTTATAAGCGAATTCAAAGCTATCTGAAGCATAAAATATGGAGCTTATGGAAATGGTTCACTATTTCTTGGTGTTAATTAATTTCAATGTGTTATTTTATTTGATTGAACGTAAAGTTATCGAATGTATTACACTTCGGTAGGGTCCGAACAAAGAGAAGTCAAATCTGACTTACTCGACCCAGGATTATCACCGAAAATATTGGATAGGAAATGAATATCAACTCATCAAGGTCGTGGGTTCGGTTCCAAATGTAACCAAACACTTTCATTTAAGGATGATATACTTATTCCTTTAAACTTACATCACTTAAATGAAAGTGTTTTACTATAATTTATCATAATTAACTTTAAATAAGTATAAGTTTCGATTTTAATAAATGATATAAAACAATATTACTTACATTGTTTGGTATCTTAATCTCTCGTTTTGAGAAACCGATGGCTTCATTTTAGAAAGAACGTTAATTAAATTACTTTGAGTAATACAGGGGGTCTGATTAATCATCTGATCATCGATAATTTCGACATAATTCTGCTTCCCGAAGATATTATTTTGAATTTCGCCGACCTAAAAGAAAAAAAAATCACGATATAAAAATTTTAAACGAATAATAAATTTGAATATTCAAAAGTTTATAATTACTTCTTTTAAGATTTTATCTTTATACTCTTCGGTGATTCCAACCACACCCTGTTCCAGTGACGGGATATATATTATATCAGAGAATTCGTGGACATTTTCACTTTTATTCTGCTTTCTTTGATCGTCTGATTAATTTTACAAGAAGTTAATTATAAATTACGGTAATGATAATTAAGAAAACAACTTTAATTTTACTTACTTAAATGGTGCAGGCTTTCAATTTGGGCGCTGTATAGCAGCGATTGTAAATCTGCCCCCGAAAAATTGGCTGTAGCAGCAGCTAAATATTCGAAATCGACGTCGGAAGATAGATGAAGTTTTCGGCTGAGAGCTTGAAGGATTTCTAATCTCTCTTCCTACGCAGGGGAGGAAAAAAAAGGAATTTGAGCATTATTTCGTTTCCGTTATAAAGAGGTTAAACTTCAATTTAATTTATTGAAATTCTCAATTGATGTTAACCGATCTCGTGAGCAAATAAACATTACTAGAATTTTAATAATACGTGAATAAATATTTAAACATTCCAAACCCCAGTTGATGTTTTCGTATTCTTTTTAATGTTAAAAACAACAACAACAAAAAAAAAAACTTTAAAGAATCCAGCACGAGTTGCGTAACTTTCCCGACAAAAACGTTAAAACTGTGCGTGGGCCATCTGTTACGAGATTTTATTTTTTTTAAACTTTTTATATTAATTAATATAAAATGGCAAAAAGGTTAAATTTTGAGTGTATATATGAGTTTTATAAAAAGTTGTAAATGTTAGTAACGAGTAAAATCTTCATTAAGTCTGACCCCAGTCGAGATACGATGCGCTACCCCCTCTAACTCCCCACCGCCTCGATATTTAACCACCAAAATTTAATAGAAACAATGCCCCTCGTACACGAATTTCCCTGCAAAATTTCAGAAATTTTCGAAAAAAAGCACGTGAGTTATTAAGCTTCAAAGTGGGTCATTTTTTGACCAATCGCCATACGTTCCCTCTGTTATATATAACAGGGGAGGGTAAGATGCTTTATAGACGAATATGACACTTTACTACACATTTTAATCAAACCTACTTCATTTGGTAGAGGACAGAAAAGATGTTTATCAAATCTCCCCGGTCTTAACAAAGCTGGATCGATGAGATCGGGTCTACTTGTTGCGGCCAAGATGTAAACCCCTATTAAAATAAACAACGTTAAAAGATATCAAATTCAACATTCAATTTGTTTTTTCCTCTATTTCTTAATTACCTTTAAGATCACTAACCTTTTAAAATCTCCACCCCGTCCATTTGTGTCAGTAATTGATTAACAATGCGATCCGTAACGCCGGTACTGTCGTGACCCCTCCTACAAAATTAATGAAAACTTCGTTACTTGACAATCTATTAAAATATCGTCTTGTAAATCGTTTTAAAATATTAAGTCACTTCTAAAGCTTCCGCGATGACAATTAATAATCCGGTTGTGGATTTTAAGCAGCAGGAGCGATGTGTATGATCAATTAGACCTTCACGTTTGGAGTGAATTTTCGAAGATTTTTACGAGGAATTCGGGCTTAATAGCAGCATTTCACGTATAACGCGAAGAATATTCTCGTTGTTTAAACCAGAGCAACCAGAAAACCTGAAGAGTCAATGAATGAAGCATTTACAAATCGAGTAATTCGTCAGAACGGGAAATTATCAGATAATTTATCTGTTCAGCGGCTTCAATTAAACGATTAATAAACACGATTCGATAAGAAACTAATTAAACAATCGAACTACAGGTTATATTTATGAAAATCTGTAAAAAAAATCGTACCAATTCGCAAGAAAACACGGTAAAACCTGTGTAAGCCGGAACGGCACGGTACCGGATATTTTTTTCCGGTTTAGTCAGTTTCCGTTTCGAACGGGTTTCTTTTTTTTAGCATAGAAAATCGCTTCTTTTTTTCCGTTTTATTCAAGTTCCGCTTTAAAGAGTTTTTACTGCATTTAATAACGTTCAACTCCTTAAACGTACGGATGACTTTGATGCTTTGTATTCATTGCTGGAGGATAATGAAAGAATGATAACAAATTACTATTATTCACAATTGAATAATTAAATAGTCAAATAATTATATAATATAAAAATACTTAACTGTTCATATGTTAAAAGCCAGCAACAGTTTTATAATACACGAACTATGTTACTCAACGCTTAAGTATGATGATGATGATGATGATGATGATGATAATACTAAATCTTAAAGGAATATTTAAATTAAATTAAATATCAAAAATTTCGAATCTAACTCGTGTTTTTTCGTAATTAAATAACTTAATTGTCATTAAGAATTCATTTTTCTAATATTAATGAGTGGTTTGAAGGTATTTAAATTAATAAATTCTGAAAAAACGCACAGTTAAATGAGCCAATGGGCTAAAAATCCTTTTATATTGTAAATTTAAAAATTACTTATCGATCAATAATGAAATGGTAATGTCTTCTAATGACTTTTCTTATTGGTTACTTTCTTTGAATGGATACCTTTTAAAGATTAAAATGTAATTTTGTATAAAAAAAATAGTATTTTAACTTATAACAAAGCGTATTATGTAATATATCAGATTATTATATAAATAAATCGCGTGTTTAATGTTACTAGCGTAAATGTATAGTCGTAAAAAATGAAGTTAAATCATTTTAAACTAACAAAATGTACGAAAGTTAAGTGTTTAGTGCGTATTAACGCATACATTTCTGAATTTATATACACGTAACGCCAATCTTCTCACGAAGATCGCGTATAATTTTATAGAAAGTTATACATAATCAAAGATTTGTGTATACTGAAGATTATTTACCACGCTTTAGTTAGATTTAATTGGCAAGTTTTACTCATTTTTACATATAAAGTGAAATGTTACTGATTATAATGAGAATATCCTCACCGATATTAATTTATTTTATATTATTTTAAAAAGAAAGGAATTTCAGTGCGTACGAATGAGATAAATGAAGTACATAAGATACCGAGTAGCACTATATTCAAGGCCTAGAGAGTCGGTTCGAATCCAAGCTGTGGCATAAATAAATCTTATTTGTCTGAGTCCTAGAGTGTTTCTAATGTGCATAAAATACAGTTTTATACTTATTCTTCATAGCATTCTTCCTTCTCTCGCCCTCTAGTGCTAGAAAATATAATTATTCACAGTCGTGACACTCGAACCACGTGCTCTAATTGAATCGGTAAACACACGATAGTAATTTATGCAAACAACAAATCGATCGTTAAAAAAAAAAAATCGAATTACTTTCTACACTAACTTACGTTAAACCCTTTTAATTAATTAATAAATTATCAATTGGAACAACAGAATCGATATTAATAAATGAAGAAAGAGAGTTAAGTTAATCAGGTTTCTGGTAAGCCGAAAAAAAAATCTTAAATTTCTGGTTAAAAATCGCATCTGATTAAATTATGCCTAAAATTAAATCGACGGAGTAAACAGAGGTTAGTTGTGTTAATTATTTGAATATTAGTTCGATTACGATTCCAAATAATAGTAATAATATTAAAATTACGCTCTAACATAAGTGTATTATGTAGTTTACTTTCGCGTGATGTTTACACGAATGCCTTCGTGCCCGGTTTTTACACGTAACGTCTTCTCGCAACGACAGTTTTTGAGGTATTATATTATCGTAACTTCCTTCCACGTAATTATTACGTGTAACAAATGAATAATACTCGAACTGATCTAAAATCGCACGCCAAAATACTGTCGTTACGCTCGGTCGATCGTCAATGTGGCTGCCATGTTAAAAAAAAAAGTTTATCGAGTGATAAAATCGCAAAATTTCTCGAGGATCGTGTAAACAAATCAAAAAATGTCCCTCCTATCGCTAATATTTCTCGTGTGATTTGTTTTTAACTGGTTCTAAATTAAATTTACTGTAAAACTTGTCCAAAACGGAACCTTAATAAAACGTAAACCTGTCTAAACGGGAAGAATTCTTTGAAATGTTCGAATGTTCGAAACGAAAAGCTGCCAAACCGGAAAAAATATTCGGTATCGCTCGAGTACGGTTTACACAGGTTTTACTGTATTTATTTTATATATTTGTCATTGGAAAAAAAATTACATTTTTAGTAAATTATTTTGCTTCTATTTATTTATCTTTCTAACAATTGAAAAATACAATACAGTAGAAACCTGTCCAAAACGGAAAAATATTCGATTCCATTTTACGCAGGTTTCGCTGTAAATAATCTCATATCGCCATCTGTTAGTATATTACTGAACTATTATTGTTATTGTTAACCAGAAAAGAAATTTTATAAGATTTGATATCTTTTATTTCGAAGAAAAAAAAAACAATATTTATTAATGTTTTTATTGTTTTCTCAAGTCAACGCGAATGAAGTACGGCACAATTATCGCTATAACAATAGCACCGACAGTAAAAAATCTTTTATTTTTATTTTTTTAGCATTAAATGGTAAATATATAACGTGGATTGTTACAATATTTTTACATTTTTGGACTTAGAACACCTTTAAACGTCCAGAAATGCAAAAAAAAAATTCGGGTTTTCCCCCTGTATGTGTGTTTTTTGCATGATTTTGTTCACCCTCTTTGAAGATTAATAACTATTGCATTTTTTGTCAAAATTTCTGAAATTTTGGAGAAAAGTTTGTAGATTAGGGATAAATATTTCTAGAAATATTCGGAAAAATCGGGCCATTGGTTCGGGAGATATGGCCTAACATCTGGAAAATCAATCTGAAAACTTAAAGATAGTGGTGGCAATTACTAGGAATGAAAACAAATAAAGTATACTTGGAAAGTCCAGAAATAACGCTGCCAGCTTTTAATTAATGGTGATGTTAAAATATTGAGAAAGTTTCAATATATTTTCTTTATAAAATACAGTACTCCAATAAATAATTTATTTATCATTTTTTATATAAATTTTATTTCTTTCTTTATATATTGATTAATCATGGTATAAACCTCACTGATTTTAGTTTTTATGTACATTTTTAGTTTTATTTCTACCTGTTTTAAGTATAAATCAGACAAATTTCAGACAAAGAATTAGATTTTGTTTAATTTGATTATGATGAATTCGTATGCAAAATATGGAAGTGTGTTTCACATTCAATGTTAAATAAGTAACGTAATACATAGTAGGGTCCATAAGTTTCCAGCAGATTTACTAAAGGTAAATACATTTTTTTTTTTTATAGAAGAACAGAAGGATAAAATGATTCCTAAGTTTTGAAATAGCAAATGCGAGAAACTGCAGAACCTTCCATTTGAACTTTAATTAACTTGCATTTTATACATATGCATTTGGAGTTAGATGCAAGTTAATTAACTTGGAAGTTAATTAATCTAGAAACACAGGCATCATTTTATCCTCCTTTTCTACTAAATTGGCTTTATCTGAATCCCTGTAAACACAAATATTTGTTTATTTATTTTTTTATTTAGTCTCCTTGTATGTCAATTTATTTCTTACAGTGCTTTATTAATAGTTCTATCCTTAATAAAAAAGGACTCTTTCTCTTCAAAATTTGCCATTGCTACAATTCATCAGCCTTGAATTTCCCCCAAATCTTATTTCAATTTTGAGAACAAATAGTAATCAACTTGAAGCCAGATTGAGCTTTAAGGTGGGTGATTTAGTTATTTCAAGCCACAATTTTAAATAGCAGCATTTGCTAAAGTTGATATGTGTACTAATGCCATATCATGCAATGGTAACACACTGATAGACAGCTTGCCACATCATTTTTTTTAATGGCATTCCCCATGTTTCTTCATTAACAACTTCAGTATGCCTCCTCACTATGGTTTGTCTTCAATGCACTCTCTTCCTAATTGGAATTGTTTTGATAATTCTTTTAAAATTAAATAAATAGGAGTAGTGTCTTCATAAACAGCAATCAGATACTCTTCAGTCTCTGATGGATGTTTTTCCTCTTTTGTTCAAAATTTAATCAACTTCTTGATACTCAATTTTAAAACACTTTCAAACTGCACTCCACCCATGCATCTTAAGTTGATAATCTTGATAACAAATTAACAGATTTTGATAATATTTTTATTTTAATGTATCAAAGCAGTGGTTCCCAACCTTTTTTGACTTGCATACCCCTTGGCAGCAAATTTTCCTAAGTTTTATTTTGCATGTTCTTCAAACAGTGGTGTCTTTGTCAATTATACAGCACTGTACATTTACACTAAAAAATTTATTTAAATCAAAAGGCATTGGAGGAAGGACAGATAAATATAATAAAAATATATTGCTATTTAACACTAAGCATCAGACTGAAAACTTTGGACCTATTTATTTCTGTAGTGAAGAAGAAAAGAAGACAATAAATATTGTGTGACTTAAAAGTTATACAAAACCTATAACTTTTAAGTCACACAATATTAATTGCAAAATTTATCTTAATTAAAAATCCAATGCATATATATTAAGTCTCGATGTTAATTGCAAAATTTATCTTAATTAATTTTGATTTTCAGTATTTAAAATTTAAATTTATAAAGCTGATACAAAACACTTACACCAGATCAAAACAACTTACAAATTATAAGCATTTTATGTTAAATTGGATAGCTTTTGTGACAAAACTGTTTAAATATTGTAAAATCAATATATCTCTGTAAAACCAATTTATACTGGTATTTCTTATAGAACTGATTATAGTATAAATTATGATTAGTAAACAAGTGTCATTTGATTAAATAAACTTCTCTACATTGTAAGATTTCTGCATTTTTCTAATTTTAAGTTCTATATGGTAGAATCCAAAAGTCTGAGAATTTTCCTTGAATAGTTTAAAACACTGATACACAACCATCTTCAAAATAATTTTCTTTGATGACAATACACTTTTTGCAGTACTAGTACAGTTTCCAGAAACATTGCTGTAAGCTATCTTTTGCAACTTCCTTTAATGCATCTTGCGATGCTGCTATTACCTCATTTGATGACTCAAAATGACATCCCTGTAAATGTTGTCTCATTGATAAAAGAAGGTAAAAATCACAAGGGGATAAGTCAAGTGAATAGGCAGTATGTGGAGCACATTAGTACTATTCTATAATGATCAGTACTATTCTGGCAAATAGCTCTGATCATTATGGACCAATGTGTAAGTGTGTTATCATGAAAAAGGTACCATTGTCTACTTCACCATGTATGTGGACATTTTATATCATTCGCATGAGTCTATTCACAATAAACAGTCCGAGATGTGATGCTTCCACATCTTGCCGATTCACCTGACTTAGCCTCAGTGGCGTACCGTGGATGTCAGCCGCCCGGGGTGGAGGGAAATTTCGGCCCCCTTATTTAGGTATTTCAATTTAAAAGACCAAAATTCAGTTTTGTCACATAACAAGCAATGAAAAATTCGGTGGTAGTGCAGCGACCTGTTTAAAATAGTTCTATTGGATATTAGTGGTGTATATGAACGCGAATGAATCGTACAAGCANAATTTCGCCCCCCTTATTTAGGTATTTCAATTTAAAAGACCAAAATTCAGTTTTGTCACATAACAAGCAATGAAAAATTCGGTGGTAGTGCAGCGACCTGTTTAAAATAGTTCTATTGGATATTAGTGGTGTATATGAACGCGAATGAATCGTACAAGCAAAATAAAAAAAAAAAGGTCAACAGGTTTCGCAAAATTTCCTGGAATGAAAAAATCACTACTTCACCCGGATGGCGAGCCGGTTCCCGGACTGTCGGACGATAGCACTATCGTAGGTGCGATGCAAGTATAGATTAGGATGTTTCAAATTTTTACAAGATATTATTATTATTTATTGTGAAATTTTGCCGCCCACTAAAAAGTGCCGCCCGGGGCGGGCCGCCCCTGCCGCCCCCACTACGGTACGCCACTGGAGAAAAATTGCATTTTTCTCTCTTTCCAATGACGAAACACCTGCAAATATTTTAATGTCATTTTGAGTCATCAAATGAGATAAAAGCAGCATCACAGGAAGCATTACAAGTGGTTAAAAAAGATGACTTATAACAATGCTTCCAAAAGGTGTACAAGCATTGGAAAAAGTGTATTGTAATTCAAGATTATTTTGAAGGGGTTCTGCATTGGAATTTTAAATTTTTCAAGATTGCAAACTACAGTGGGTAATCAGACAGCAAACAAATTGGTTAACGAACACTTTCGTGAGATTTTTATGTTTGAACGACGAACACTTCACAGAACAAACACAAAAAGAAGCGACATAAAATAACAAATACCAATTAGTTTTGCCTTGTCTTCAGGTAACAATTTGAAACCTTTCAGAGTGCGGAAGATGCTCAACCCAATACTGATCAGATATTATTCTTTTGTACTTTGAAACTCTTCATTGTAATTCCAGCTTCTTGTTTACCTTTCAGACAAATAATTTTTTATAGTCTTTGTGAGATTGTTGGGCACTCATTAAGTTTGGCATCGTTTTTACTTTCTAAAGGTGAGTGTTTAACTGTCCTATCGGATATTCATTAACAGTTTAACACCAAAATCTCAAATTTCGTTCAGACCTCACATTTACATAATTCTTTCATGCACTAGTCTCAAATGTCTCAAATTTGAAGAATTAATTAAAAAAGAAGGCTATTGTCCATAACAAATTTTCAATTGTAATGAAACTAGTTTATTTTGGAAGCACATGCCTAACTGTACCTACATTACAAAAGACGAAAAAAATATTCCTGGGCATAAACCTATGAAAGACCAATTGACATTACTTTTGGGAGCTAATACTAGTGGTAATATGAAGCTTATCCCGCTTCTTGTCTATCACTCTGAAAATCCTAGAGCATTAAAAAATTCCGTAATTAAAGAAAGACTACCAAGGATGTGGAGATCGAATAAAAGGGCATGGGTCATGCAGGCTCTTTTCAAAGAATGGATGTTTGATGTTTGTGCTCCAAGCATCAAGGATTACCTTCAGACCAATGAATTGCCATGAAAGCACTGTTGCTATTCAACAATGCACTAGGACACCCAAAAGACCTTGAAGATAATTTGCTGAAAGACTTTTCCTGGCTGATAGCAGTTTCTGCCTCCGAATACCACTTTGTTAATTCAACCAACAGATCAAGGTTGCAGGTTTCAAGAAATTCTACATCTGAGCACTGTTTTGTCAGTGTTTTGAAGCATGCTAGTTCTCCTCAACGATGACATCAAAAACATTTTGGAAAGAAAAATTTGATATTCTTGAAGCTATACGGCTCATTCAAAAGGTACGGTCAGGAGTCACTCAACAACAGCTAAATCGATAATCGGTTAACAAACAATTCGGATAGCAAACAAAGTCTTAAAATTGGAACAGATTATGTTCATTAACCGATCACCCACTGTATATGCCAAATCTCAGAACTTTTGAATCCTACTATATAAATTAATATTACAATAAATTTTTACCTGGGTGCCAGAGCATCAAATTCATCAAAAAATAATATGCAAGGTTTTGCACTTTGAGCACTGTAAAAAATTAAATAAACTTCAAATATTAAGTATAATTTCTAAAATAATTTTATTTTTAGTATTTAAAATTATTTGAAATGGAACTCAATATTTAACTGTAATTTTACCATAAAAATGCTTACTTTTCAAAAATGTTTCTTAGAGCTTGTTCACTTGCTCCTATATATTTTGATAAGATTTCTGGGCCCTAAATATGTAAAAAATAATAATTTGAAATTTGTAAAATATAAATTATTAATAAAAAATTTAAATATCAAAATAGATAAAAACTGTTTTTATTGTTTTCTAAATAATGTCGATTTTATTATATTTTAATTGTATAATTTTTTTATTGCAACAAAGAAAAAATACAACTTTAAAGTAATTAAATATCCAAATATTAAAAAATTAAAGTGCATGATAATTATAAACATCATGTTAAACCTGACTTTAATGTCTGATATATTCAATATATATCAAATACAAAGCTATATCTAAATGACTACAGCCAATAAGACTAATTTTCTTCTTCCAAAATTTTCATAAATAAAATGTTAATTCATGAAAACACAAAAAATATTGAATTAACCTTACTAATAAATATCTAGTACTTGTATAGATAATATTAAAGTACTCTTCATACATACTGCTTTGTATTTCATCTATATTCATTATGATCTGTGAAATTTATGTTCTGGAAATAGTTGTAATTCTTATATAAAGATTTTCAAGACAGTTCTTGTTTCAATACACTAGAATACAATTATATTTTCAGTAAAACATAAGAAAATTCTTTGATGCAAATTTGCTAAATGCTTGAATATGACAACAGAATCCAGTGGTCCATATATTTACATTCTTTATCAATTATGCAACTTTCAATTATAAAAAGCATGAAAGATCAAAATCATACTTTCTTAGTTGAGAGTGAATTTCACAAATGCTAACTTATCAGTGATGTATGAAAGAAGAACTGCATAAATATTAAATAAAAACAGATCATATATTGATAATCATGTGATAAACTTCATAATTTGAATGTAAGTTCCAATGTAATAAGTTCTCTTAATGTTTACAATAATTCAATATATATCAAATCATAATTTTTATCTCATTTCATATTGTCAACTATCTGATTTAAGCTTCAGAAATAAAAAAACCCAAATTATTAATTATTTTGTGAAATGTACTTAATGAATAATGCTTAATACATTTTAGTGTATTAAAGTTAGTTTATAACTTCTTTTGTGCCCTGTTATATTTAAAACACAATTAAACTGTTGTTTCTCAAAAAAGTTTTATTCATTTTTAAAAAATGATTATGAAATAGCATTAATACATTTATTAGAAAGAGTACCTTTACAGTAATAAAATTATATCCACTTTCTTTAGCTATAACACTAGCTAACAAAGTTTTTCCTGTTCCCGGAGGCCCATACAAAAGAATCCCTGACTGAAGACGTATTGGACAATTTTCAAACAATGTGGGATACTAGAAAAAATAATTCATAAATTAATTATTATTATTTTTTACAGTTCATTTGCAATTATTAATGCAAGAAAATAACATACTTTTAATGGCCAAAATAGAATTTCATACAGTGTTTTTTTTATATCAGACAACCCACCGATATCAGACCAAGATTTACTTTCACTTTTATATAAATTAATTCCTCGTATATGTAAAGGAAGATAATTTTTCAAAGCTGTATCAAAATCAATTTCTGTTAAATGTAGTTCCTTATCAGTTGTTTTTCTATTCTCTGAAAAAGAGAAAAAATATCTGTAATAAATTATGTTAAAATTAATAACATTGGTTTCTTTGAATATTACTAAATATTTAATATTTTTATGAAGAATTTACATGAAATTTTATGATCAATTAAGATAGTTCTTCCACTTTTGCCAATGTTTTCAAACAATACAAGAATAATTATTAAACATAAGATTACTGAAGACAAAGAACAACTTTGGATTCACTAAAAATTTTAAATGCTGCACCACATATTCAGCATTTGGCAACTGGCAGATAATTGCCTGTTCGTCTGTAAGATTTGGCAATATATCAACAAGGAGTGAGAAATGGCAAATACCGAATATTTGTCACAAGTAAATCATTTACATTATTTAGTATAGACTGAACATTTGCTCAGCATTCAGTAAATATTGAATATGTGGAGCCACTTTAAGATTAAGTAAACTATTCAAATATAAACAAACATAATTGAAATATAAGTTTAAAGGATTAAAATCATTCAATATTACAGTTTGTCACATTATGAACCAAACATTTTTAATAACAAAATATTTTATTACTTTATAGATAAACACATATTTGTACCTTTTGTTAAAAGCTGTACAGATTGGTTCATTAATAAAGACGAAAAAGATAAACTTTTTCTATCGTCGACGAGAAGTTTATTGGTACAAAAATATTTTTAAAAAGTTTTATTCTTTGAATAAAATTGAAATTAATATAAAATATATNAATAAAAGTTTTTTTTTCAGATTTCAGTTAAATGGTATGTTAATATATAAGATAAAAAACTAACTGATCTCAATTCTTGGCATAATTTAACATTTCCAAAATATATCTTTGAACACAAACACACAAAAATATAATACATTTTTGACATATTTTTTAATTTAAAATTGAAATAATTTTGTTTTATTTAACTAAAATGATAAAAAATCATTTTTATTCAGCAAGTATTTTGTTCATAGTATTATTATTTGATCTTTAAATATTAAATTTAGCAACTAAATGTATTTCTTTAGTTTCAAAATGCTATTTAAACTAATTGTTCTAAAATAAACAAATTTTATGTTTTTTAATTGTTTTACTTATGTTACATATTATCTATTATTATTCTTAATAAACAAGTTTAAAGTATTAATGATTGTATACAGTCTCCAAAATCTTGTTTACATTTGATATAACTAAAGTATATTTTTTCCATTTAGAATTTTTGATATCCTTAAGTAATAACATATTTCATTTATCTTTTCCTAATTATAAAACATAGCATTTGTTGCATGTAAGATGCATTTTTAAATTATTTGTTCAAAATAGAACTGCTTATAGGCTACCAGAGAGGGACCCAGAAGGCCCAGATCCTCTTTTTGTAAATAAAGATAAAATCAAGTAAGTACAAGAAAATGATCTTTATGTGACAAACACTCTTATACAGTTATATACACAATATCTAAGAGTTTACTCTTCATCCACAGCCCTACTGACTGGATCAACTGTATAAAATAGACATAAAAATAGGTTTGTGTGTTCTAATTTGGGTCCCTCATAAAATCTGTTTTAGTTACTTTATTGAGACATTTATTGTTTATATTATTATTGTTTTTCCTTCTGAATAAAATTTGTTAAAAAAAGAAAGAAGGTTTACTTTTATTTCTTATATTTTCCCTTTACACTTAAGAGCATTAAAGCCCTCTTCATACTGACTATTTTTGTATAAGAAATGAATTAATATGAATTAATATACAACATATAAAGAGTATTATTTAATTATATGCAGTAAAATCACAATGCCAATAGTTGTATATGAATATTTTAATCATGCAATATCAAAAACAATTTACTATATAGGTAATATCTATTCATTTTATGGACGATAAATGGTTATTTACAATTACAAATATCCATGGTACTTGAAAATTATACACACAGCTTCATCTTTATATGAAAATTACTATATGTGCATCTATTTCTGTGTGAGCAATTTTTTTATGTGCACATTTATGGCAGTGGAGATTTTTCTGTATGCAATTTTCTTGTGCATTTTTTCATAGAACCATATGTAAGGGTGCAATATTTAGATGCGAATTTAGAGCGAATTTAGATGCGAATTTAGAGCGAGTGAGAGGTTGCGAGCAATTTAGTTTTCGCAAAGAAAAACCATGCACAAACGAGAAGCGAGAAATAACGCTGGCGAGAGCGAATTTCTGGTTCTCGCACATATCTGACAGGTTTTGATGCTTGTCGCTTCTTGCCTCTTCTCGCCACATATTCTCGCTCGCTAGGAAAATTTGCTTGCTCGCGTCTGCATAGCCCCACCCTAAGATTATAATAAAAGGTGTTCATAAAGGCTTTTCCTGATTACAAACATTTATTGTGTAAAAACTATACTAGGTAGAAACATACAGTTTGTGGTGTAATTTATGCTGATTCCCAGAGTTTTTTACTATAATTTTGCACAATTGCAAACTGTCCAAGTAGCACTGCAATCACCAAATGGCATCTTTGCAAGAGAAAGATCAATGCGTTCTGAGATTTTACAAAACAAAATCAATTAAAGTTCAGTTAAACTTCAGAAAAAGTTATTAAAAATTGGTATGTAAAGTTTAAAGAGACTGGTAGTGTTAATGACCTAAAAAGAACTGCGGTTCCCAGCAGTTCTTTTTGTACATTTTCATATATTTATATTATAAACAAATNGAGCGAATTTAGATGCGAATTTAGAGCGAGTGAGAGGTTGCGAGCAATTTAGTTTTCGCAAAGAAAAACCATGCACAAACGAGAAGCAAGAAATAACGCTGGCGAGAGCGAATTTCTGGTTCTCGCACATATCTGACAGGTTTTGATGCTTGTCGCTTCTTGCCTCTTCTCGCCACATATTCTCGCTCACTAGGAAAATTTGCTTGCTCGCGTCTGCATAGTCCCACCCTAAGATTATAATAAAAGGTGTTCATAAAGGCTTTTCCTGATTACAAACATTTATTGTGTAAAAACTATACTAGGTATTTTTAAAAACTTAATACAAATTTCTTTAGTTATACAAGGTAGGCATAAAGTCTTTTCCTGATTACAAACATTTATTGTGCAAAAACTATGCTAGACAAGGAACATAATTTGTGGCATAATTTAGGCTGATTTCTAGAAGTGTTTTTAAATATACTGTTGCAAAGACTGTCCAGGTAGAATTGTAATTGCCAGTAACAAAGTGACTTTTTCAAAGAAACTCAATGTATTCTGTGGTTTCTTAAAACAAAATCACCAATTATGGTTCAACAAAATTTCAGAAAAACTACCAGATATGAAAAGCATTAAAGGCTTGTGTGTAAAGTTTAAAACGAATATCAGTATTGATGACCTGAAGTCTTTTTTTAAATTTTACATACTAACATTTAATGCTTTTCACATTTAATAATTATCATTATACTCTTTTCTGAAGTTTTGCTGAGCCATAATTGATTTTGCTTTGTAAAAGCACAGAACACATTGAACTTTGTCCTAAAATGACACCGTCATGATATGGTACTAGCAATTGCAGTACCACCAGTCTGTGTAGCAATGTATTAAAAAAAAAAAAAAAAAAAACAGGAATCAGCCACAAACCATGTTTCTACTTAGCAGTTTTTGCACAATAAATGTTTGTAATCATAAAAAGATTTTATATTTTAAAAATATAAAATCAATTAGCCAAAATAAAATATTTATTGAAATTTTACACCTAAAGTTTAATTAATAAAAAAAAAAAAAAAGATTGCAGATTACATTGGACTATAATAATGCTACTAATTATTAATTAAAATTCAAGTTATTTTGCCTAAAGATAGGCATTAGGTACCATCTACAACAGGTCTATAATAATAGGCCAAATGTAATCTGGCAATCATTTGGCATTAAACTAAAAATCAGTTTATTGGATGTTTTTAAACTAAAAAATTATTTTCATGTTATAAAGTAAATGACAAATAAACATGCAAAAATTTATATATTTTTAAATTCATTTTAAAATGAAAACATTGAAGAAGCTTAAAAATTTTATATAGATTATATAGAACTGGTGGAGTACATGATATAAAAGACATTGCTATATTTGGACTCAGCGAAACAAAGTGAAAGGAAGTGGGAGGAAGAGACCTAAGAGAAGATTATAAGTTTTTTTGGAGTGAAGGAACAAAGATGAAAAATGGTGTAGGAATCATTGTTAGGAAAGACATCCAGGAAATGATGGTAGAAATGAAAAACATCAGTGATAGAATAATAAAAATATGAGTGAAATTTGAGGAAAAGTTAACGATTTTATCCAGGTTTATGCCCCACAAACAGGCAACATGAAGAACTGTTAGAAAAGTTCCTAAAGGAAGTAGAAGTAATTGAAGATAAGAAAGACATGGTTATAGGGGACCTAAATGCACAGGTAGGGAAGGCAAGAAGTGGACTGTAAGAAATTATAGGCCCATTTGGATTTGGCTATAGAAACAAGGAAGGGAAGTATTGATTGATTTCTGTGAATGGAATGCTTGTTGGAAACACCTGGTTTATGAAGAATTCTCAAAAATAACTCAATATGGGTGGGTGAAAGGAGGACAATGACTAAAATTGATTACTTCCTGATTGAAAAGCAGAACCACAGAAACCTTTTGGATGTGACAGCAGATCCAAATGAAGCTTTTGATGGAGACCACAAATTGATCATTGCAAGGTTTAGTGTTGGAGCAATGACAAAAATGAAGGAAGTAAGAGAAAGGAAAATAAAGGTTTGGAAGTTAAAGGAACCAGAAATGAAACAAAAGTGTCAGACTGAACTCTCAATTCACATTCTAAACTCAGAAATACAAGGAGTAGAGGAAGAGTGGGCAATGTTTAAAAAAAAATATGCAACTTACTTCTGCTGTAAACCAAAACAGTGCTTATTTCCAAATATTTTCACAAACGTTTTCAAACTTAGTTCTTCTTCAGGTGAATAAAACGGGTAGAACAAAGGGGGAAGAGATCTATTGCCATTAGACACTTCCTATTGAGAATGTAATAAATAAATAGTTATGTTTTTACTTCCTTTGTTTTATTTATATAACCCTATTAATCCAAACATTCCTATATAATTTTGTAGTAGCAAAAGTGTACTGTATTTTGATTTTTTGAAACATTCTTTTTGTTTTGAATCTACAAAAATTTTTTGTTCAAGTTTTTGTCAAAAAAGTTCAGATTTTTGCTTTGAAAAGCAAAAATCTGAACTTTGTAAATGTGAAGTACATTTTTAAAAGATTATAACCTGTTTAACTGAAGCAAAACCTTAACAGAATAAATAAATACCACAAATGATTTCATAAGTTCAGAAGAAACACAAAAACAAATGTCTCTTCATAATTTGTTTTTTCCCCCCACACCTTGGAATTCAAAAATAAAAAGATGTGTGTCAAAGTCAACCTTTATTTTGAGATTCTTGTCTGTCTTGATATGCAAGAGATGTTAAAAATTCCTCTTGTGACAGTATATTTCAAGGATACATTGTATACAGTATTGATAAAAATATAAAACTCAGAGGATAATTATAATAAAAATTTTACCAGTTCAGAATATGTGAAGTTTCAATCTAGGAGTGTGAAAAAGATAAAGTTTTATGTTTTTTTAGTATTTCTTATAAACTTGTGAAATTTTTATTATAGTTGTCATCCTGGTTTTATATTTTTATCAATATACAAAATACTCAAACATTTTTGGCTGGTCAGCCATATTCAGACATTATTTTTCAAATGTATGAAGATATGAGGATGGCTGATTATCCAAAACATTTGTATTTATTTATTCATTTACTTTGGTTAAGAAATTTATTGTCATTAATATTTCAAAATGCTTGTTAATTATGAATTCAATTATTATAAATATTTTATTATTGTGCAAAAAAATTTATCATAAATTGTTTTTCAGGTTTACTACTATTAAATTTGATATTCACTACATTTCTCTTTTCATACATGTAATAAAGAATTGGATTAGAATGGAATCAGTTCATATTTGAATAGTGAACTGTACTTGAGGTATGTCTGTTAGTTAAAGTCAATTTAAGTTCAATACTACAAAATATCATAAAAGAAGTATTACCATTTTGTTTTTAAATAATTTTTAAATGAAACAATATAAATACAGGTATACCTCGCCTTACGTCGGTAATTGGTTCCAGGAAAACGACTTAAGTCGAAAAACGACGTAAGTCGAATTTACTTGTCTCTGAATCTACTTGTTACTAGGAAAAACCATAAATTACTATTCCCAGTTCTGTATTTTATTTATTAATGCATTTTTAATAATATATGGTTAATAAGAATCTATTTTAAGCTTACAAACAAATAAATTTTAGTTTTTAATAGAGTACAGAAAAAAGTAATCTAAATTTACGAATGCATGTACTGTACTGTAAATACAGTACATACTTGTAAATGTATATATTTTAATATGATTTTATGTGCTTTAAACGCTTTTCTAGTGATATTACGACTTCAATATTNTGCACATTTATGGCAGTGGAGATTTTTCTGTATGCAATTTTCTTGTGCATTTTTTCATAGAACCATATGTAAGGGTGCAATATTTAGATGCGAATTTAGAGCGAATTTAGATGCGAATTTAGAGCGAGTGAGAGGTTGCGAGCAATTTAGTTTTCGCAAAGAAAAACCATGCACAAACGAGAAGCAAGAAATAACGCTGGCGAGAGCGAATTTCTGGTTCTCGCACATATCTGACAGGTTTTGATGCTTGTCGCTTCTTGCCTCTTCTCGCCACATATTCTCGCTCGCTAGGAAAATTTGCTTGCTCGCGTCTGCATAGCCCCACCCTAAGATTATAATAAAAGGTGTTCATAAAGGCTTTTCCTGATTACAAACATTTATTGTGTAAAAACTATACTAGGTAGAAACATACAGTTTGTGGTGTAATTTATGCTGATTCCCAGAGTTTTTTACTATAATTTTGCACAATTGCAAACTGTCCAAGTAGCACTGCAATCACCAAATGGCATCTTTGCAAGAGAAAGATCAATGCGTTCTGAGATTTTACAAAACAAAATCAATTAAAGTTCAGTTAAACTTCAGAAAAAGTTATTAAAAATTGGTATGTAAAGTTTAAAGAGACTGGTAGTGTTAATGACCTAAAAAGAACTGCGGTTCCCAGCAGTTCTTTTTGTACATTTTCATATATTTATATTATAAACAAATAAAAAAATAAAATAAAATATACAATTATAACTAAAAAAAAACTGAATTATAAATTTATATTTATATTTGAATCTTATGAATTTATAAGTATTTCAGAGAAACCTTAGGACTTTTTCTCCTAAAGTTTATGACAATTTTTCTGACATCTGTCTGTACGCAATATTTTTATTTATTAATGAATCCTATTCGATTATATTAAAATCGCTAATTTAAATAATGTTTTTTTTATATACTGAGTTTATTTCATTGATGATTTCAATTAACTTCAGAAAATATAAATAAATAATTTTGTTTTAAAATTTTCAATGTTATACCAATTTACACTGAAAATAAAGAAAAAAAATTTATCAAATTTTATTTACCAACTCTCATCCATGCAGAGTGAGTAGCTCTGTTCAATAATATATTTAAATCTTCAGCAACACAGCCTTCTGTCTTAAAAGCAAACTTGGATAAATATTCTTTACAATCCACTATTAAGTAAGGTTTTGATTCAATTAATGCTTTCACTATAGATTCCCTTTGTTCCTGTAAATATTTATCAAAATTACAATTAAATTTTATTTTTATACATTGTAAATCAATAATAATAAATTAAATTCATGCTATATATAATGTAAAAGTATTATCAGAAACAAAGATCATGTGACAAAGTGATATAGACATAGGGTTTTTGTTAGAATTAATTAGGGACAGAATCAAATGAGTTTCTAAGAACAAGAAACAAATATAATTCATGAAAATAATGAAAATAAGGCAACAAGTGCTGCCAACTTGCCTTGTATAGAATAGTTGCCTACTAACTAGCATTGAGCATACAAAAGAAGTTGATTAACGTATTAATAATTACAGAGACAAAGTTAATGATCAATTAGAGTATTAAAATTCCTGCAGAAGCCAGGACATAGAATAACTTCATCTCTGTATTGCTGTAATATAAGTAGAATTTCTAACAGAAAAGCTGAACACTAGTTTTTGTAACTCAAATTGGCTTGTTTGCTACTCTGTAAGCTCATAAAAACCACATCCAAGAGGTACTCATATACTTAGCACAAGTTCTTGGAAACAATGAGAACTTTTTGCAATAGAATAGTAATCAACTCTTGCATTTGAAAATGCCTATCTTTAATTTGAATCAGTTTGAATTAAACCTCAAAATAAAATTTTTTATGTATATTAAAATGATTTTACTATAAAAAAATGTAACTGTGTAACATTTATCTTGTTTAAAGAAAATATCTAGCAATGAGAGTTTTATAACTTTCCCAGCTGTTAAGAGTTTTTATTTTAAAAAAACTTATATTATTAAGCAAAATAAAATAAAATAAAATAAAATTGTGTGGGGCACCATCTGTTATCAATTTTGTTATAAAAAATTTTTTATTTTTTATTAATATAAAATGGCAAAAAGCTTAATTTGAAGATTGGGGTGAGTTTTATAAAAAAAAAAAAAAAAAAAGTGTAAATGTTAATAAAAAATAAAATCTTAATTAAGTCCTACCCTCCCGAGATACATGATCCCCTATATCTCCCCACCCTTCAACAACAAAAATTTAATAGCATCAATGCCTCTCATACACAAGCCACCATCCCAAATTTTTGTTACTTAATCTTTATCCCATCCCTGCCAACACACACACACCCATGTCATGGACATTTTTTTGCCTTTTTTAGATTTAGGAGTTTAGGAGGTCTCAAAATGTGGAGATTTGCAAAAAGCTTAGATGATCAAATTTGACATGATTCAAATACCCTTGTTATGTATATATAACAGCCTGGAAAGTAAAAAAACACTAAAACCTGTTCAAAGTGGAAAAAATAATTTGATACTGTGCGATTTTGGTTTACTATATTAGATTTTTACTTTCCTCACTTTGTTATATATAGTAGAGAGAAAATATGTCAATCAGTCAAAAAAGACACCCAAAAATTTTAACATTTTTGAACTCAGGATCTTGAAATGTTAGAAAATGCAAAAAAATTTGGGGTTTTTTCAGGGCTGTGGAGTCGTGTAAAAATCTACCAACTCCAACTCCGACTTTTCCTTACCATCCAACTCCACTCCGACTCCGACCAAGGGCGGACTTGTTACCGAAAGAGACCTGGAAATTCTGATGTCTTCACGTGACCTCAGAATAAAAGATTCAATAAATAGAGTTATAATAAAGATAGAACGTAGAAACTTTTTATTTCAAAGCCAAAAGACTCCTCTAAGTAATATATAAATATATATTCGATAATTTTTACTTTTCTGGCTGTTATATATAACAGAGGATATATAACAAAGTGTAGCACTCGGTCAAAAAAATGACCCCTCCCAAATTTTTACATTTTTGGACTCAGAACATCTTGAAATTTCGAGTTAATTAAGCAAAAGATTCGAGATTTTTTTCTATATGTGTGGATGTTGGACTGTGTGGGGGGGCATGATTTTGTTCACCCTGTTTGAAGCCTAATAATTCCTGTGGTCAGAGTGGTCAGAATTGGAGTCAGATGGTTTAACACAGGAGTTAGTTATTAAGCGTCAAAGTGTTTGAACTAAATCGTGTCCCCATGTACATTCTAACATCTTAGGCGAGAACATCTTAACGGGTTTTACTGTACTATTATAAAATGGCAAAAAAGCTTACTTTGAGAGTAGAGACGAGTTTTATTTTATTTTTTTAAATTTTGAATGCTAATAATGAGGAAAATATTCATTAAGAAATGTGACACATGACCACTTTTATGTCTTCACCCTGTCGACCTTTAATTAAGAATCAAAATTTTTATACGCAAGCTTTAGTGCCACATTTCGTTTCTTAAACTTTACCCATTCTGAGATATTGTTTAATATCTCAGAACAGAAAATAAAGAAATTAAACAAATTAGATGCCAACACACACACACACAATTTTTCCCCTTTTATTGACTTTTTTGAGTGGTTCGGGAGGGTTCCAAATGTATAGATTTGCAAAAAAACATAGAGGGTCAAATTTGACACGATTCCAATACTTTTCCATTTTATATACATAACAAGTTGGTAATTAAAAAGGAGTTGGAGTCGGCGGATTTTTTGACGACTCCGACTCCGGCTAAAACACCAAAACTCCATGACTCCGACTCCACAGCCCTGGGTTTTTTAGTGTGTGTGTGTTTCTCACAATTTTGTTCACCCTCTTTGAAGATTAATAACTCCTGTGCTTTCTGTCAAAAATTTCTGAAATTTTGCAGTAATGTTTCTGTATTAGGGGGATTGATGCTATTAAATTTTGGAAATTAAAGGCCAAGGGTGGAAAGATTGTGGGGATTGTGTGTCATATCTTGAGTAGGATCAGACTTAATTACAATTTTAAAACCCATCCCTACTCTCAAAATTAAGGGCTTTGCTATTTTATATTAATTAAAAATATAAAAAGCTTTTTTAATATAATATCATAACAGATAGTGCCACGCATGCAATTTTAAATGTTGCCAGAAAAGTTAAGCAACTTGTTGCTGGATTTTTTAAAATAAAAAGTAAAGATACAATTGCAAATAATTATAAAAAATAATGAAATGAGTTATTAAGATATATAGACTGGTAGTGTTAATGNTGTCCCCATATACATTCTAACATCTTAGGCGAGAACATCTTAACGGGTTTTACTGTACTATTATAAAATGGCAAAAAAGCTTACTTTGAGAGTAGAGACGAGTTTTATTTTATTTTTTTAAATTTTGAATGCTAATAATGAGGAAAATATTCATTAAGAAATGTGACACATGACCACTTTTATGTCTTCACCCTGTCGACCTTTAATTAAGAATCAAAATTTTTATACGCAAGCTTTAGTGCCACATTTCGTTTCTTAACGTTTCTTAAACTTTACCCAACCCATTCTGAGATATTGTTTAATATCTCAGAACAGAAAATAAAGAAATTAAACAAATTAGATGCCAACACACACAAAACAAATTAGATGCCAACACACACACACACAATTTTTCCCCTTTTATTGACTTTTTTGAGTGGTTCGGGAGGGTTCCAAATGTATAGATTTGCAAAAAAACATAGAGGGTCAAATTTGACACGATTCCAATACTTTTCCATTTTATATACATAACAAGTTGGTAATTAAAAAGGAGTTGGAGTCGGCGGATTTTTTGACGACTCCGACTCCGGCTAAAACACCAAAACTCCATGACTCCGACTCCACAGCCCTGGGTTTTTTAGTGTGTGTGTGTTTCTCACAATTTTGTTCACCCTCTTTGAAGATTAATAACTCCTGTGCTTTCTGTCAAAAATTTCTGAAATTTTGCAGTAATGTTTCTGTATTAGGGGGATTGATGCTATTAAATTTTGGAAATTAAAGGCCAAGGGTGGAAAGATTGTGGGGATTGTGTGTCATATCTTGAGTAGGATCAGACTTAATTACAATTTTAAAACCCATCCCTACTCTCAAAATTAAGGGCTTTGCTATTTTATATTAATTAAAAATATAAAAAGCTTTTTTAATATAATATCATAACAGATAGTGCCACGCATGCAATTTTAAATGTTGCCAGAAAAGTTAAGCAACTTGTTGCTGGATTTTTTAAAATAAAAAGTAAAGATACAATTGCAAATAATTATAAAAAATAATGAAATGAGTTATTAAGATATATAGACTGGTAGTGTTAATGAC